AAAAATGAACAGGAAACGCTTGATAATGGGGGGGGGGGCGCTTTAGTTTATATTCCGTTTTGTTGGTAATGGGAATGTGAGAGAATAAATCAATGTGAGAAATTTTAATGGATGTAATTAAAGAGCCGAGCGTGGGTGGTGTGAGCACCATGGGAGTGTGGGCGGCCACCCTCCTACTATCAGCTGTGGGTGGCCCGGCAAACGTTACACATCTTGACCTTGACTAAAAAGTACATTTTTTAGTTAATGTATTATTCAACTCTTATCAGCTGTTATTGTGCCAATTTAATAACGTCACTACATACTACAATGACGTCATCCCAACGTCAACTCTATCGTGATGAACACAAATGAGGGACGTAGCCCTGCCCTGCCGTAGCCCTGCCCTGCCGTAGCCCTATCCTGACGTAGCCGGCGCACTCTGCTAATGTCTGTATGGTCCGTGTTTTACCTCACGCTTTGGGCACGTACGTTTCCTTGCATCTGATGGATTGTTCACATGACAGTAAATATGTATCCTGGAGACGATCAGGGGCTAGATAAACCTAAAACCTATGCTTTAATGTCCCAGAGAATAGGGGGAGGGGAACTACTGGGGCTCCTCGACTACCTCTCAAGGGTGTGGATAGCAACTGAACTAACGTCCGTCTTGATATCGTATTTAATCGGAGAAAGTATATCTTTCATTTATCTAACCTTTTTAATATGCAGTTTCAGTTAATGATGAATAAGTGAAAGGAAAAGGATGCATATGAATTGCACAAAATTTTTTTTTTTTTGATCCGCTGAAGCATGTTTGCTTACTGCTGCATGTCACGTAAAATTATTCATAAATTAGCCTTGCATACTTGCATAATTCTAATACTAAACAGATTTTGTATAGTGAGGGTTTTACCTGGCAAATGAAGTGTTGATTAAACGATTGCAGTTCCTTAGGTTAATTAAAGGGTTGATAGTTGGTGCATCAGTAATGCAGCAGACTGCATGATTTTCCAAACAGCTGTAATTAGTTTGAAAAAATGAGGTAAATAAGCTATTATCATTTGAACAAATTTATATTCAAATTGAATATTTGAATCACTTTGAATCGCCCACTAATCACACTACCACCATTAACGTTGTGCTAACTGGTTGTGACGCAATGGATGATCTCCAGGGCAGTCTGCCCAGTAACCGGTAGGCGAGCGGTCTGTGCTGGGAGACATATTGATCATGACCAAGGTGGCTCGCCGAACCGGCTGCTGTCTACTGGTGCTTCCACACTGAATTAGGCTTGAATATGGATAAGTGTTTGTAGTTTTAGATTTATCTACTCGGGAGTACAACCCCCGTGCAGCACGGGCTATGGTGTGCCCGTAATCCGTAATGTTTAGTCACACTTCAAAATAAATCTTGCTTATTAAATTAGATTTGTTAAATAAATGGATGGTAGGAAAGATTTCTTTAAAGATTTATATTTTACAATTTTCGCACAATGCAGAAGAGCTAATAAAAGTTGGGCTGCTATTCCAGTGGATCGTATTAAGCATGTCTGAAGAGGTGCAGTTCAGTATATTGATCTTGGCCAGCCGCTGGATGAACTGGATAAAACCAGGCATGCTTTAGTCTGCCGTAAATACCAAGCAGACAGTCGAGCGTTGTGGCATTTAGTTCACGCAGACACTTCTTACATGAATATTGTTCAGCTCGACCTCCTAATGTTTCCCAACGTCAAGAAACTGTCGTACCTCCTAACCTACCAGAAGACCTAAAACAGAAAACGGGAGTGCCAATTTCGCGAGCCACTTCAATTTTCTAGTACGAGGAATTTTGGCCTTTTGTCAAAATGCGGCGCTCTATTAGGAGGACGGGTCCTATTATTAATGGTATCGTATTGTAATGGTACAAAGCAGATATATATCTACGTATTTTTGGAAGGCGAATGATACTCGTACTGGGCTAAATATATAAAATTAAAATTTAGTAATATAGTTAAAAGTAGATAATTAAATTATAAGGCTTACACCAAGTGACAATATAATTGAATTAACTGTACTAAATGGTAATGTATAGCCTGTAAATGATGCATAACTAGTTAGCCTTCACGGGGAACTAGTCTAATTTACAGTATTTAATGCAACAGGTAATAAGATGTAAGTTATAAAACTTAAATATAATATGTAAAATAAACCACAGGAATATTCCTAAAGCTTAGAGCTTAGTGTAATGTAGGGAGCCCACTAAAGGTATGAATGCTGCGGGTGGGGTCCAGCAGGGCAACCCCGCCCCCCTCCCACCAATGACCCTGAGAATGACACATGGAAGGGTTTGCTAGTAAGAGCAACTAAGTTTCCTGGTCCGTGTTCCCGTGGATTCCTGGTTCCGTTCCCGTGGAGGGCATAAATAGGCCTGCCTTGGGCAGCCCTATTTATGCCCTCGGTAGACCTACGTGCACCCGGCCTAGACTGATGACTCTGTACTAGTGCTCAGATTCCAGAGCACTAGAGAAATGCGCAGGCATAATTTTATTTTATTATTTGAGTTCTTACATTCTTGTAAAGCATGCATAGCGTTTCGGGCAGGTCCTTCATCCTAATTTTCCCCTGAATACGGCCCGCTAAATAGTTTAACAATCGGGCATCCATTCACTGCTAAGTGAACAGAGGCGTGCAGTTAAGGTATGGCGCATAGTCAATCCTCCCCGGCGGGGATACTAACCCAGACCAAATCGCTTGCGAAGCGCGGGGCGGGTGTTTTACCACTTGGGCCCCAGGAACTGCAGTCTCCTTTGCTCCTAAAAATTTGAGTGCTGCTTCACCTTCATTTTAATGATTCTCTGACATAGCTGGACAGCTGTTAATATACGGAATTGGCTTCTGATGCAGTAAGAATAGACTAGCTACAGTCATTTAATTGTTACTTCTGTGAATGTTGCAGGAAAATCTGAAACTTGAGTTTCATAAATATGATTAATAACTTGGACGCACAAATAACCTAACCAGTTCCAGGGCCGAGTTATTTAAGTTGAATTTCATTTTGTATATCATAAAACTTACTTATCTGTACTCACCTAGTTGTGCTTGCGGAGATTGAGCTTTGGTCCCGCCTCTCGACTGTCAATCAACTGGTGTACAGATTACTGATCCTATTGGACTCTTATATCTACAATTGAAACTATGAGCAACCACTTCGACTGGGCGGTAGAGCGACTGTCTCGCTTCATGCAGATCGGCATTCAATCCCCGACCGTCAAAGTGGTTGGGCACCATGCCTCTCCGGCCCATTTCGCATCCTTATCCCTTCAAAGTGCTATGTAGTCGAAATGGCTTGGCGCTTTCTCCTGATAGTTCCCTCCCTCAAACTATGAAGTCGGCCTCCACCAGATCACTTCCTAATACATTTCTATTTGTTAACTACTACGACACTAAAAAAAAAGCTCTTATGTCTATGGCTCGTTTGGGTACTCGACTTCCACCTGTCCCCCCCCCCCCTAGTGCTCGAATTTTATTTGTCGACTCCTCAATATTCTACGTGACTTTATATGGCGATTGGTCAATACTGATAAATGAAAAAGCTGTGTAGATTTCAGTTGGATTTATTGTTAGATAAAATATTCCTAGTCGGCATCATATTTTTGTGCGTCGGGCGAAACAAAACACCATAGGCAATATAAGATTTTATTAATTTTAAATATTAATAAATGTTTGCAACGGCAAGTTGCATGAAATTGTTGCAACTGCGGTTATTAGTAATTTGCAACTGAAACTGCTGGAAGTTTTTGCAGCTTCGCGGTTGCTAGCAGGTTGCAACCTATGGTTTGCATGTGCAGAAATACATTTTACGAGACCTTAATAACTATACTTGTATACCTATTCCACGTAAGTAGGGGCACATGCATCCAAATATAGTAGCACGTAAATAAAGTATACAATTAGAGAATTCATCCTAGAATTGTAAATAGTGCACTTAGCAGTAATAACGAAGGATGCATATCGCCTACGCACCATTAATCTTAAATAATTAACATTACTAATTACCAATAATTACCCACTTACATGTGTGTGTGTAACACTACATTGCATGTGTAAATGATGAGACAAGCTACTTGTATACAGAAACATTGAAAGAGTATATATGATGAACGTGTGTACATGTGCACAAAAATTCAGATAAAAAAAAGTGGCAAGCAATACAAGAGGGAGTGAATCATTAGGGTAAAGTAACAGAGCCATTACGACTATATAGCACTTAGAAGGGGTCAGGATAAGGATTTGGGTTGAGACGGTGGGAAAGGAATGGTGCCCAACCACTTGGACAATCGAGGATTGAACGCAGACCTGCATGAAGCGAGACCGTCGCTCTACCGTCCAGCCCAAGTGGTTGGGACAAGCAATATAAGAGTTTCAGGCGATGAGACACAATAACGTGGCTGAAGTATGATGACCAGACCACACACTAGTCAGTCGTTGAGTCATCAGTTGATTGACAGTCGAGGCGAGACCAAAGAGCCAGAGCTCACCCCCCCCCCCCCCGCAAACACAACTAGGTGAGTACCAGAAGGTGAACAGACGACGACCTTTCGGTCCGTCCTGAAGTAGATTGTCCAACACAATATAAGAGTTGAACATAAAGTTGAGCCGGGTGATGGGCGGGGTTCCGGCGAAGCCAAGCCGGTTAGCGCGGAGATAAGCAATCCTAAGTTGTAATTTATAAGGGCATGCCCTTTGGGTAACACATGAGCTCTTTATGATCAATGCCGTAATACTGCATGTTCTCAATGAACAAATTCAGATAGCGTTTTTAATCCATCGGTATCACGGACTGAATGCTAATAGTTAAAGTTAAAGGTGACTAGGTTGGGCGTGTGGTGGGCGTGGCGCTAGGGATAGTGGTGCCAAAAGTAGTGCAGTGGCGGTGTGCCAAAATGCAGAGGTCATTGCCTGTCACTTTGCCATGACCTTGGCGCAGGAAGGTAGCAAGCTTTGCCTTGGTTTCCCATCGTTGCTAGGCCTTAAGGTTAGGGCGCATGCGCTGGCTTCGTGTAAATATGGACTTTATGCCGGGTAGTCGTAAGGTTCAGTAGTAGTAAAGTTGGCAGAGGGCGCTCGAGCAGGGCTGGCCCACAAAAGCCCTCGACAACGGTCGATCCTCGCCAGTTGGAGACCCGAGGTGGGTGAGTGTAGTGTTCTCTTGAGGTGTTTTACTTTCAGGTTTATTATTATAACATTTACCAGCAAGTAAGACGTATAATTTTACATAAAGCTGCTAGGTTTAATTGTATGTATCGGAGTGTAGTGAAGCAGTGTGTATGTAACTTCAGTACGTGATGACGGCAACGTCAGCCGGCGATAAATTTATGCGTTGGAATGTTTGCTGTCGGAAATGTATTACGGCCTCCGATATGTCCATACGATTCTTTTGTTTTATACTGCTTAACTGTCAAATATTGAATCAAGGTTTTACTGTGCTTTATTTAAAATTTTTACTAAATATTTAGGAAGCACTTTTTTTTAATGCGTTTATATAGTATACATAGTCCATCGAATTATGCTGAATATGGTTTCACTAAAAATTACAAGGGCTAGACTGTGGCAGTCTGTGAAGACTGAAGGTTTGGGAAGGTGACCTTCAGACGTCCTTAGTCGGCCAAGGTGGAGCCTCGCGCGCAGGTCAATCATCACAAGAGATACATGACTTCACATACAAAATTGTTAGTCAGCTGATTATAAAAACCACCCAATTCTGCATTATATATGGTTTTATAAAGTGGAAAACTATCTTTTGTGGAAACGTCAGTGTGATTTGACCGTACCCGGGGACGGCAGCCATACTGTTGGTGTTGGCCGGCGCTTATAACTTACCTGGTTTCCTTTTCTTAATTTAAACTAGTTCTGGGGTAAAGTGCTTGAACCAGTTATGTGCCTCAAGTTTTACCAACTGCCACTCGCAGGATGGGTATTGGGTGCATAATAAATTATCTAAGGTTTACGTTCAGATTCGTGCGGCAGGACAGACATTTGGCCGTTTCCCTTGTTCTTTTATAAGTTCTCTTCACCTTGGAATGAATAGGTATCTTGGAGTTAGCTGTTGTAGGTTGTATCCTTGATAAGGTCAGTAGGTGGCTCGGTTTTTATTTAAATACAGTGGGTTGTGCAATGGTGATTGGTACATTCTTGCAGTCACTAACATGCATAGTGTTTTGGGAAGGTCCATAAATGTATTGTTAGGCACTTTGTAACAAAGAATTTATGCTTGGAAGAAAACTGCATTGGATTGGGACTCTTATTAAATTATTTTATTAATTACAATTTATAGCTTGGTTACTTGCATGTATCTAGCAATCATATACATTCTTGTAACTCGTTTGTGCAGTGTGAATTTATTCCTGAAGTATACATTAATCAGTCTTAATTATGGGTTATGAGTTACAGAAGTTAACTAGACTGTGTATACTAAGACTACGGCCAGAAGTGGAATGCCTGCTAAATGATACCAGGAGTGGTATCCAGTAAACCCAAATCATATAGTAAAGTAGGCAAGGCCAATAAGAATAACAATGTACGAGGGTGTGTGTGAGGATATTTTAGGCGATTAACCAGTTACCTGTACCTAAAAAGTTATCACCCAGGAAGGGTGCAGTGTAGCTGGTTAATCCCACTTACAGTAATCCGGGACACAAATGAAAATGGAGTTGTAGCGAATTAGTTTATAGATGGTAAGTGGCCAGGGACTGTTTAACCTTTCGGCAGTCACTTAGTGAAAAGAGGATTGTGTGTGTTGTACAGTAGAGGCTTAATGTTTTGCTAAGGAAGATGTCAGTTAATGTGTCATGTGTATTTAATAAAAATTCCCAGTTTGTATTGTTAATTGCATTTGTGAGGGTACCTCTTGGTGCTTTACTGCATAATTTGAATAATTTATTGGTATCTGATAGCATTTTGTTTGCTATGAGGAAGGTAAGATAGTGATCAGTAGTTCTGTCAGTGATTATGCCAGAAGCATGGGTCTGTTAGTCCACGTGTAGTACAAGCAGTGGTACAGTGTTGCTGGAGTATCGCTCTGCTGTGTGCTGTTTTGTAGAGATCAATGTTTGAAGTCGCCACCTAAAATGTGATTTGTTAAGTTTGTTGCTTCTGATTAAATTAGTCAGATTTTTGAGAATGCAGTTATATTGGTATTATAAAGTTGATAAACAGCTTGAATAGTTGTAGGGATTTTAAAGGTTTGAACCGAGAATAGAGTATGTAAATGTAGATTCACAGTGCCAGTAAAGTTATCTTGATAATACTGTACTGTAGATAGCTGTACTACTTTCCCATTTTCTGGGAAAGATTGAAAAATAACTGGTATGTAGTTATTTAATTCATCAATCTTACGAAGTATTTAAGTTATGAATGGCTTTATAACAAGGTATGTTGTCTAATTGGATAAGGTCTTCATTTAGCCATGTTTAACATAATGAAAGTTTAGTAATTAGTGCTTCTAGCAGTGCATGTCAGAAAATCATGGCCAGGTTGCCTAGGGTGTGCATGTGTGAATACCCACCACATAGGGTTGAATGGGATAGGTTCTGGTGTGTGTGTGTGAGTTTGTTCCAGAAAGGCCTTGCCACTGGGGCGGAGAGGCTTGCTTAGGGCAATTCACGAGTCTCTTGGTTGGGGCTTGTGTATTTGTTGTACCTTGCATTGATTTTGTGCATCGATGATCCCATGGTCCGACCTCTAACCACGCCTCTTGGTTTATAGTCTGGTCAACCAGGCTGTTGGACACAGCTGTTCACAGCCTGACGTATGAATCGGACTGTTGCCCAGGTTTCCTTTCGAGGCGTTTAAATTGCCCTCTTGACCACGGAGGAGTTGGCCAGAGTATGCCCCTTATGGTATAGTGGAAGCATGTTGAACAGTGACAATCTGACATGACATGCCACACACTAGTCATAGCCTGATTGTTTTGGATTGCATTTAGCATATCTTCTGGCAAGTAGTCTCATTGTCTGGTGTCCTGCTTGGCCAGCTGCCTTCAGGCCCTGGTAATCCCCGTCACTGGTCATTAGCATGGTTGGTTTGGCTTGAGCCCACACATGCCATCTGCGAGGTTGAAGGGTGTTCCTCGGCTTTGTTACCAGACGATGGTCATTCTTTCTCTCCCCCTTGCTGCCTGTTGGGTTGGCCTATCTTATCTTATCTGACCGTGTCCTGTGTGGTTTGTTCCCTCTGGGTCTCTGCATTTACTGACTGCTTCCAAAATGCATTGGGCAGCTGCTACTTTGAGAGCTAGGTTTGCTATGGCTTGGCGTTGACAATGTAATCAGTTGGATGCTCTGGCATGCAGCCCTCTTCTCCTGTGGGTGTAGTTTGTCCCGCTTCTGGTCAACTGAGGGGTGAATGTCATATTTTATATGTACAAGTATAACATTTGGCCACTTTCCCTCGGGTTTGGTTTTGGGTCCCATGCAGTACATCTGAATTATGGTATTTCTGGAAATTTCCATCTTCCTACGTTTCCTCTGGTGGTTCACATGGAATTCTTTCAGTATCTATTGCAGAATTTAAAATGCTCTTCGTTGATAGATCTGGCCTCTTTGGAGTAAATCTGTCTTGGATTGTCAGATTTGGAAGGTTCCACACATTGGTGGGGCTCTGGTAGCTTCCAGATTCATAGCTTCCCTGCTTACAAGGTTAGTTGGTTTGTTGGTGTGCTGGTCTTCGGTAACTGGCCAGGAAGACGGTTGTGCGCAAAAGCACGGCCACCTTGCAGTGGCATTTAGTACTATGAGTTTCACCCTAATTTTGAATACTGTGATTTACACACAGAAATCACAATAGCGTGATGTATCAAATGAACAAATCCACAAGGACTGTGACGAGGATTTGAATCCTCGTCACAGCCCTTGTGGATTTGTTTACTTAGATTTATTTACACAGATGTTTGGTGTTTGAGAATTTTGTCTTTGTTAACCCTCCAGTTTTCTTTATAGATTCACCCACTTTCTGGATGCATTCACTGTGGTGGCTTATTGCCACTTGCTCTCTGCAGCTTTGAGTGGGGTGGTGGGTGGGCTAGGAGTTTGCTCCGACCCATGGTAGGCCTGATGTGTCCCATTTGCATGGCGCAATCTTGGCAAGATGGCTTCTGGGAGCCACTGGACCTCATTTAGCAAGAGGCATTTCATTACATTCAGTGTATTGTTTTTGGATCTGTCATGGATTGGGCTTTTGTTACATTGTTTGTGTGAAATGTTAACATAATCACAAAGAAATCTCCATCACAAAAAGTGAAAGTTGAGCATACATGTGGTGAGGCAGCGTAACAGCAGAAGTGGGCAACCAGTGGGACAGTTGTAAGCTCTCACAATCTTGGGTGTGCAGTATTGAATTAGTGACAAATAACATTTGTGATTTTTTTAAATTTTGCATCAGTATCATTGAAATGCAAAGGTTTTACTTGGCAATACTTGCTTGTTTTTCAGTAGTTCTGGTGAACTAATAGCAACTGATTAAACAGCAGGTGGTGTTATTTTAGCATTTGATCTGCTAAATTGTTTTAAATGAAATTAAATGAAAGTTTGTAAAATTAATTTGTTGCAGGAATTTTTTTTTAAATAAAACAATATACATTAATTTATAGACTTGTAATTGACATTGATCTTCCAGATTCCATCAAGCAGCCACAATGTCGATCACAAAGGTATTCGCTCGCAGCATCTTTGATTCCCGTGGTAACCCCACTGTGGAAGTGGATCTTTACACAAGCAAGGGTCTTTTCCGTGCAGCTGTGCCCTCTGGTGCATCGACTGGTATCCATGAAGCTCTGGAAATGCGAGATGGAGATAAATCAAAGTATCATGGCAAGTCTGTCTTCAATGCTGTCAAGAACGTCAATGACATCATTGCCCCAGAGATCATAAAGAGTGTGAGTTCTCATTGTTAAATATACTAGTTGTGTAGTACATCTACAGTAATTTTAACTCCCTAAAGTGTGACCATGATCACTTTTTTTTTCTCCCCTCTCTCTCCCCCCCCCCCCCTTATTCCTCCCACAATGAGATTGGTCTGTCGGCTGTGGCAATATATACATGCCGGTTCCTGTATAGGAATCGGCCATGTATACTGGTTCCTATACAGGAATTCATTACTGTATACAACCATTTCATTCACCTTACATTTGTTCCTGGCACAGCTCAAATGAAGTGTCTTACAACCCACTTGCTTGCTGCTGTTTTGTCTGAGTGCCCAGAAATATTTAGACACTGGTGGGAAATGCCTAATAGATCCAACAATAACTGCCTGGCTTGTGGGGAAAAAGATTACCATCATATATAGTAAGCAGAATGGACATTAATTTATTTTATAGTTAATGTAAATCTAACTTTAACATTAGTCTGCCTAAAAGTGACATGTTAAGTAAAGCTAAGCTTTTATTTACATGTGCAGAATAAATGAGTTAAATAATCACGCAAGTAGAATACTGTACATGTATAGCAAATGAATTGCACTTTTATTGATGTGGGAAGATAACTTAAAGGACAAACATGATTGGGAGTTAAGTTGGCAACACATGGGTAAACTGAAAATAATTGGGTAATAAAGCAGCATGGAAGTGACTTGAGCTGTGGCAATGACCAGTGCCAGGGGTAATGCATGGTGGTGAAACAGATTAATTCTAAGAGTAAAGTTGAGGTACTACATAATGTGGGCATTTGTTGCATAGTGGGCATTTCCAATGAATGCACTGCTGCACCAGATTTGTGGGCTCCCCCCTTCCCCATCTACTTGGGCTGGACGGTAGAGTGACGGTCTCGCTTCATGCAGGTCGGCGTTCAATCCCTGACCATGCAAGTAGTTGGGCATCATTCCTTCACCCCGTCCCATCCCAAATCCTTATCCTAATCCCTTCATAGTGCTATATAGTTGTGATGACTTGGTGCTTTCCCTGATAATTCACTTCCCCTGTGGGCTGGCCCTTGGTTCCTTGGCCTGGTGCATTCACTAAGGTATCACAACCATCCATTAAAACTACCCAGCCTGAGATTTTCTTTAATATGTAACTTGGTCAAAAAGTGGGTTAAGTTCCTGCACCCATTGTATCTCATAACATTTCCCATAAACACTCATTGGATGGGTATGGTGTCCATAATAAATGGATTAGGGCTGCATGAATAAAGTTGTTAATCATTTAACATGGCATCACACTATATGAAAACTGTACATTGCCTTCAGAAATGTTGGTACAACTAACTGAACTTTACAACTGTGTGCACATTTCATCTGACGCTCTTAAGACAAAATTAATGGGTCATGATACAAGTACTGTAGTTCAGTAGTTTCTGCTACGTAGCTAATTTATCATAAAAATTGGTAACATGATTGAACATTGCACATGATTTGTTTATGGACTTTCAGGAAAGTCTGAAATTGCTGATTATATTAAAAATTTATATTTGGAAACTAATTTTATACTGTAACCTTTTGTAGGGCTTGAAAGTGACCCAGCAAAAAGAGTGTGACGAGTTTATGTGCAAACTGGATGGTACAGAAAACAAAAGCCGTCTTGGTGCCAATGCTATTCTCGGCGTATCTCTGGCCGTCTGCAAGGCTGGTGCTGCAGAATTGGGAATACCTTTATACAGGTGAGTTATAAGATGTATTGGTCTTGGGAAATAATAACTTAATTGTTGGCACTATATCAAACCCTTGCCTTACTGGAACAATCCTCAAACCCATTGGCTCATATCCCTAGGTGTGATGTCATAGGAAATTTAATTTTTTAATCTTTTGGTAATATAAACTCTGCCTTTAGCCTTGAAAAATTAGAAATGTACATAGAGTGGTGCAAGGAAACTCCTTAGTTTGAGTTGTGTAACCCCCCTTTCCCTCCTGATGGCAGTGTTAACTAGTTAAGGCAGTAAGCATAGCCTTAAAAAAAAAATGGCACCAGGGACTACATTCCATTATCCTGCACTAAAGTGTTGGATAATGAAGATGCAAAAGCAGGGGCCCCCCAAAAAAAGAATTAATGTTGCGTGCAAAGAAAAGTACAGGAATTTGAGGCTCTTGGGAGTGAATGCAATTAAAGTGTGTGCATGCTCTCACTGGAAAACATGAAGATGACTGATAGATTTATAATGCCTTATGTTTGCCAGCTTCCCATAATCTGAGGAAATATATCTTGATGAAAATAAACACATCACATCAGACCAGTGTTACAATATGCAGCATTGGCATTTAAGCTGCAACATAAAAAAACTATGGTTTGCAACAAGTATTGTCCCCCGAATGTCTCGCATTTTGACGACTCAAAAATGCATTCTTATTGCTCAATTTTCAGTTTTTGGTAGCAGAATATAAGGTTGTGGAATTGCCCTATAATTTAAGAGCTAATGCTAGCATAGTTTTAAATCCATTGGGTACAAAATGTTCAGTGGGGCATAAAATTTGCTCCCTGTAGATTGTGATAAGCTAGTCCTACCATCACTAAAGCCCCTGCCATACCCACATTCCCCAACCCAACCTGTCTGCTGTCAAAGCCCCTTCCTACAAAAAGCTTTGCCATAGATAATGATTTTGTGATTTGAATTTTTGATAGGCTAAACCACACAAAATTGGTAACACTATAACATTAGTACTGTAGTTTTAAAAATGTAATTTCCTCATAAGTAGGGGTAAAAATTGTAAGCCAGATACCTCAAAATGTTAATTGGAGAAAGGCAAACAGACTTGTGGAATTGACTATAGAGTATAGTATTTAATTTGAGCCTTCTGGGCAGTGTTAATTTGGCTGTAAGGTCTTTATAAAGTCTTATTGGATTTTATTTATAATACCAAAGTACTATAATTTATATGTTTACTTTACAGGCATATTGCAAATCTTGCCAACTATGGGGAAGTGATTCTACCTGTACCAGCTTTCAATGTTATAAATGGTGGCTCTCATGCTGGAAACAAGCTAGCTATGCAAGAGTTCATGATCCTACCCACAGGAGCAGAGACTTTTACTGAAGCTATGAAAATGGGTAGTGAAGTTTATCATCACTTGAAGGCTGTCATTAAGGCTCGCTTTGGTCTTGATGCAACAGCTGTTGGAGATGAGGGAGGTTTTGCCCCTAACATTCTCAATAATAAGGATGCCCTCAACCTTATCCAAGATGCAATCAAAAAGGCTGGTTATGTAGGCAAGATAGAGATTGGGATGGATGTGGCTGCATCAGAATTCTACAAACAAGATAATGTTTATGACCTTGACTTCAAAACTGCTAACAATGATGGATCTCAGAAGATTTCTGGTGACCAACTTAGGAATTTGTATATGGAATTCTGCAAGGAGTTTCCCATAGTCTCCATTGAGGACCCATTTGATCAGGTACAGTAACTAGTAAATTTTAACTTTACCTTACATTTCACTATTAAGATTTACTTTAGCTCCTTAACCAATTAGACAAGTCTTGTGATGAAAGATTAAATAATTTAAGTGGTGGTTTTTAGTTTTGAGATTAGACAACTAAACACTTGTGTATTTTGCCAAGCTTGAACAGAAATATTATGGTGTAATGTGTTGAAATATTTAAGCAAGAGTGAATTATTTGAAATCTAAGAAAGTTAAAATTTGCAGTGTGAATAAAAGTGAAAATTATTTGCTTGATCCAAAACTGATACTGTATATTAACTATGGTAAAATTTTCATGGCATGTCAATTGCTTTTAAATTTACTGATTTCTTTCATAAGAGAAGCTTAGACTGCATAAGCTAGTCTCGGTCATAAGTCATGTCTTAAATCTTTGTATGAGCTTTGTGGTATACCTTATCCTGTACTATTTGTACATTTGCACTTTTAACAAACCCAAGTAAGCTTGGAATTGGAATAGCTGTGGATAAGTACTCTAAAGAGTAATAAGTTTCCAAATGTGCCTTCAATTTCAGACATTAGAGGTATCGTTCAAAAATGGTAGGGTGGGTAAAGTAAGATGTTATTTTAATAAGAGCATATGTTGCAAATTAAGTTTACATATAGCATTCCACGTTTATTAGAATATATTCGGTTTTATTATTACATTTTTCCTTTTGTTGTTTTGTAGGATGACTGGGATAACTGGACCAAGATGACTGCTGGTACTGACATTCAAATTGTAGGTGATGATTTAACTGTAACTAACCCTAAGCGCATTACCACGGCTGTTGAGAAGAAAGCTTGTAACTGTCTGCTGTTGAAGGTGAACCAGATAGGTTCAGTCACAGAATCAATCAATGCCCACCTTCTGGCCAAAGAAAATGGCTGGGGCACCATGGTCTCCCACAGGTGAGCACAAAAGTATTGTACTAGAAACATTAAGGTTTAGTAATTTTTCATGTATTAAGTTTAATGGCATATCTCCACCATTAATTACTATTGTTTAAAGTTGTTTTATTTAAATTAAGTAAATACTTTAGCAGATGTACACTCAACCAGTGTGCCTGCTTGTTGGCAGCATCCCCCCCCCCCACAGAAGCGGGCCCAAACACTTAGTATACATAGTATGGTGATCATATAATTTTAATCGTCCAGATTTTATATAAATGTGGTTGTGGGAATTTGTTGGCAATAAATCTTCAATGTACTGTGTAAATAGTTTTGTTGTCGTGCATAAGAACTTGTGTGTTTAATTATTTGAAGTATTAGATCAGAATCTAGAGGTGGCCTATTCAGTGGTAATTTGATTTAAGTTGACTTTAAACTCAAATATTTAATCAGCTCTGTTGGCTGAACTGTGTTTTTGTTAGTAAGTTAAATTGTTCGTTGAATGGATTAAATCTCATAAATTAAAATTATACCTAAAATTTATCTAACGGTTAAACAAGATAAAGTTTTGGTTTGATAAGTCAGTTCTCAGCTGGCAAGTAGTGGGGGTCCAAGCGTGTCCTGTCTGGTCTGTCCAATATGGCCACTTACTGCTGAGACATGGAATTAAATCCCTTTACTGCACTTGCTGGTGTTTTTACTGTTAGAAACATGGCACTATCATTCAAGTGTTAATAGATATAGCCCCATTAATCATTTGGTTAAATTCCCATTTAAAAATAATGGGAGGCAGTTATTTATTGTATTCATACATTGTAATTGGTCCATACACTTAGGGCCAATACATCTCTCGAAAGGAGATGAAAGAGGTATCAAATATATACATGGAAGATACTGGAAGGCCAAGTTGCAAATTTGCACAGTAAATAACATACTGGAGTGAAAGGTATGGAAGGAAATGTTGAATAGAACCAGTGAGTAGTTTGTGCCTATGGCACAATCAGAGAACACTGAAAATCAGAGGTCTATGGCTATACAATACTCCCAGTAAGCATTAGAAATATTGCCGGAACAAAGGTGGACTTTAACAATCAATTGGATAAATTCTTGCAAGTACCTGACCAAACGGGCTGTAATGGATATATGGGCAGCTACAAGCAACAGCCTGTTGGACTAAGTTATCAAAAGTCAAGCCCTGGCCTTTCTGTACTAATGTAAGCACAAGTTTAACTCATACAAAATTACGAACAAACACTTTGCTCTGAAAAATAACCACAATATTGTAAAAAGATGTGGAAGTGTAGGAAAATTTAATGACAAATTGATAAATGGTTAGAAAGTGGGTGTGGGAGGAGACCCCCTAATATTGCTTTACTCTTGTAAATGCACAGCTCGGCCAGTCAAAGAATGTCGTTCACATATCTACACGTCTAATATCATTTTGGTTAACCTTTACCTGATGTTAGTTTTGTGCTTTACTAATATTCTCCTTGTTTATTCCAATAGGTCTGGTGAGACAGAAGATTGCTTCATTGCTGATCTGGTTGTTGGCCTGTGTACTGGTCAAATAAAAACTGGTGCTCCCTGCCGCTCTGAACGTTTGGCAAAATATAACCAAATCCTCCGTATCGAGGAAGAACTTGGGTCCAATGCTAAGTTTGCTGGCAAGAATTTCAGGAAACCCGTTTAAGAAGTTTAAATCATAAGGCTTTTAAAATCTTATAAGAATGTTACTGAATAAATTTGGGAAAACTGATATACCTATAACATTGCTTATGAGATGTTTAAAAGTTTCAGATTGCTGTTAATTGCAAAGTGCATTTGAAGGTTTGAAACAGATACGCAAGTGGAAGCAGTGTTAAAAAGGATAACTAATGTACTGTACTGCTAGGAAGTTCTGTATATTTTGTTAGCTTGAGTTGTATGTGTTTGTCTTCAGTTTAAATGATTCCATGTTAAACAATTACTCCATGCTTATAGAAAAATATTTACTAGTCATGTCTTGTATTAGAAATGTCTTCAGAATGTCTTGTTGCAATGTTCTTATATATACTGTACTAAAAAAGTTCTAGTATTATGTATACAGTATAAGGTACATTAAAACTTGAAGATGTATGATCCTGTTCTTCATCCCAGCAAGTTATTTTTTTTTTTTCAATTTTAATATCTAAAGCTTGTCATGGTTTTTACTTTATGCAGCATTTACAGTACCCAAGTACCTTGGTGCATTCCTGACCATAAGCATTGTGCATCTATTGATATTTTCTCAGATTACTATAAATTAAAAAGTAGATGGTTAAATTATAGTGCCAGTGTTGTGGAGCAACTTGTCCTATGGTGTTGCCTGTCACATTTGTCTAATTTCATTATCAAATGATTTTCAGAGTAAAAATGTTTTCATGTTCTGCATTTAACCCCAACATTATAGTGAAAAAATATACCATATTTCTTCATTACTTGCATAATGCTAGTAGGCTTCAGGTAGCTTGGTAATTTTATTGACCAGTGAGAAGGAAAAGGGGGTGGGAGACTAATCTGGTACTACCAGGTACCCTGTACCCTAGTATATGCCTCTCCTAATGGCAATTGGAGAACTCTCGGGTACCTATTTACTGTTAGGTAAACAGGAGCCCCCCACCAGGGTGACAAACTGCCCATTTGTTTTTGCCTCTGCTAGGAATTGATCCCCAGACCCTAAGATTACAATTCCAGAGTGCTGTCTACTCAGAGTGGAAGGCCGTGTAGGGGTGAGGAAGCAAGACTGGGCAGGGTGCTGTGTGTGGAAATTAGGGGGGGCACGGGGTACTGTATGTAGAAATTGGGGGGAGAGGGGGGGGGCACAGGGTGGTTGTGTGTGTGTGTGGAGACTGGAAGGGGACGGGACCGTGAGTGGAGATGGGGTTATGGCCCTTGGATGCCAGATTGAGTTATAGCTGCCATTCTAAATTGGGTTTTGTCGTTATTTGCATCATTTGGGGCTTCTTTTAGAAAAGGTGTCCATCCTTATCAGTGGTACCTCGCATAACGAATTTAATCCGTTCCATGTTCGTCATGTGAAACGGACGTCATACAAAACGAGTGTCCCCCCATGTAACCAGTGTGATGCACTTTATTTATTTATGCATATACAAGAATGTACATAAGGAATGTGAGGATACAAATATGGTAATTACAGTCTTGTAAAGCCACTAGCACGCGCAGCGTTTCGGGCAGGTCCTTAATCTAAGAAAATTTTAAGGAGGTAAATACTTGAAAATTTATATACAAAATAATAACAGTTACATGAAATGAAAAAAAGATGAGAGAAAATTGTAGGTACAGTATATTAAAGCACATAGGTAGCTAAGATTGATTGCAATGACAGCTTGAATGGTAGTTGACAAAAATTGGTAGGCACAATACAGCAGAATCAATATAAGATTGATTGCAATGACAGCTTGAATGGTAGTTGACAAAAATTGGTAGTCACAATACAGCATATGGCTAGCACATAAAAGAAGACAGCAATGAACACAATGATAAGGTTGTTTGATATTACATAAAAATTAGGAGATTGGGTAACACTAGGTACAGAGCAAACTTAAGGCTCAGTGTAGGAAACTAAGAAGATGAAGTTAGGTACTTTTTGGTTTTGCTTTTAAATAAGGCAAAAGTTTTACAGTTTTTCAATTCACTAGGGAGTGAGTTCCATAGACTAGGTCCCTTAATTTGCATAGTGTTTACACAGATTAAGTTTGACCCTGGGGATATCAAAGAGAGATTTATTTCTGGTGTGGTGATGTTCCGAACCTTAATGGAATCTGACCCATATATCAATCAGGTCAACCCATGTGTTGCGTTTCCAAAAGGGTCGCCCATGTTAGAATCGGTGAACGCCCTAGTAATATTGTTGAAAACATCTTAATAACTTATTAAACCAAAGATCTTTTTATGTCAGAAGAACGGCAGAAACTGGATCTATATATGAAAACTCTTTCAGGACAAAATTTAAAGTAAAACTAAAGATATTTGTAGTTGTATAAAAGTTGCTTTTTTCATCGGTCGTAGAGCCGGAAATCCGCAATATTCATCTCAGAACAATGCTTATTTCACGCAGAATCGTTAATAAACGTAAGATTTTTATACGTCTCAAGAAAGATAGAAACATAATCTTCATTTTAAATGCCTTACCATGGGCATATTTGTATTTAAAGCGAAGATACGTGTATTTTTCTAATCGGCGAGCTCCGATCCCGCACAGATCGAGCAACGGAGTAACTCTCTCTCAGAACAATGCTTATTTCACGTAAATTCGTTAATAAATGCAAATGTTTTTATATGTGGTGAGAAAGATAGAAATATAAGCTTCATTTTAAATACTTTACCATAGATATATATAAAGTTCTAATGAAGATACATGTGTTTTAATAATCGCCGAGCTCCGACCCCACACAGACTGATCGACAGAGCAACTCTCTCTCAGAACAATGCTTATTTCACGTAAATTCATTAATAAACACACATGTTTTATATGTCTCAAGAAAGATAAAAATATAAGCTTCATTTTAAATACTTTAACATAGAGATATATAAAGCTCAAGTGAAGATACATACGTTTTTATAGTGGCATTCAGTAGCTTGTTGGTCATGGAATGCAGAAGCCTACGCACTTGCCAATATAGTGTGTAATTAACAAAGATACGCTTATAAAGCCTAAAATATTATATGCCTTCAGAAAGACAGAGATATGCTCGTTATTGTGAGTGCACCAAAGGAAATATATCTTGTTGGAGGACAAAGATATATCAATTCTAAAATAAGTTTCGACTCTCGCTCGGGCGAGAGATAGCGCGACTCTCGCCCCATCTATTGGCGATTCTGTTCACCTAATGACCCAAAGCTACTCAAAGCCTCCTAGCATTACTTAAATAATGAAGAAATATGGTATATTTATTCACTATAATGTTGGTGCTTAATGCAGAACACGAGAAAACATATATTTACTATAAAATAATATACTTCCATCATGAAATAAGTAAATATGTGGCCTCATAGGAAGTCAACGGTCCAGGTGTCAATGTTGTGGAGCGACTTATCCAAGATATGTTGTTGTCTGGAAAGTGTTTGTTGGCATATCAACCTTCTGTATACAGTGATCCAGTCGTCGCACTTCTCTCCTTAAATGATCGCAAATTTAGTTTATTATATTAACAAGTAGAATACGTATTTCTAATAATATCTAACATAACTAGCCAGAAAATATTGAAGACTTATTGAAAAATACATGTCTGGAAGTTAAATCGACTTCATAGAACAATAGTGTTGTCTATACTAATCGTTATTCGTTAGTATGCGTTCGCTACTTAAAACATTTACTGTACTGATGTAAAATCTCCCATGTCTCTTTGCACATGGAACACCGAACCTTACACACTCTCTGATATATTGTTTAATTAATAGAGATTCATTAATAAAGCTTATAATTGTATATGTTATCAAAAAGGCATAGATAAAGTCGTTCTTACGTTTTAGTCACAGAGATTAGATATTAGTAAAGTAAAGTTCATTTTATTCAGGAAAGTACATAAATAGTCGATTTACAAACATAATATTGGATTTATAAATAGAGCTAGTACATACAATACCTAAAGCCACTAGTACGCATAGCGTTTCGGGCATATTATTGAGAGAGGAAAGATATTTATATTTAAACATTTTTTTTTTTTTTTACCGACGCTCTCCCTATTGATGAGAACTACAACCTAATGAAGATAAATGTTAATTTTATGTAGATACTGTAATAAACGAAAGTTTTTAATGTCATCAGAGAAGCAGAAATATAGGCAAATTTTAAATCCCTTGTCATAAATATAACTGAAGTGAAAGCAAAGATATATGCATTTTGATAGTTACAAAGACAGCTCTTTAACACGGGTGGAACACGAACAAGGGGAACTTAGTACCCAAATGAGCCACAGAGATATTAGAAAGATTTTTTTCAGTGTCAGAGTAGTTAACAAATGGAATGTATTAAGCAGTGATGTGGTGGAGGCTGACTCCATACACAATTTCAAATGTAGATGTGATAGAGCCCAATAGGCTCAGGAACCTGTACACCTGTTGATTGACGGTTGAGAGTCGGGACCAAAGAACCAAAGCTCAACCCCTGCAAGCACAAATTAGGTGAGTACAACTAGGTGAATACAGCTGAGGGGCGGGACCAAACAGCTGAAGCTCAATTCCCTACGCATAACTAGGCGAGTCCATAGGAATTACCGTTTGTCCTGGCGCCATCTATGTTTTGACAGCAGTACTACTAATGTTCCCACGTTATGTGATCATCGCTATACGGGTGTTACGGTCAGTTGCTCTTCTATATATGTTTATGGACAACGTGGGTGATTTGAGGCAATTTGCGGCCAGAGTGATATAGTATCCATGCGGTGAGTGATGGAGGAGGATATATACTGCTGTGTACTCGACCAGCGGGTGAGAGGTAAGTTATATCGAACAAATATGGGGAATAGATGGGTTATTTTAAGCGTAGAATGTCAGGTAACCGGTAACTACACAGATGGGGTAGTGTTTTTTCAAGTCTTTATTTACTAAAGTTGAACATTACATTATGCCTTTAGCTGAACAAGTCTACTGGTGGGGGAAGTAGACGGGTTTTATGAAAGTATTTTACCTAAATATTTGTATTTGGTTTACTAGTTCCTCCGTTACCAGGGAGGGTGTTCCTTTAATCTAATCTAAAAATTCTAGCCGGACAAAGTGAATAAATAAATTGAATAGAACGAAGTGGTTTGCCAGGGTGCTTAACATTTAGTTTAGTTCACTTACTATGCAGCCCATGCTTAAAGAATGCAAGTTTATCATATTGAATTTACCGTAGTTTTACTGCATTTAATATACCGTTTTTACCCTACTTATGTCGGGTAAAGGCCGGTCGTGGAAAGTTCCTAATATAGTATGTTTTAAAGGAAAAGTTTGAGTTAACTTTAACGCTTAAGTTAGTGACCAATTAGCTTAGTCTATTGTGAGGAAAGTTACTAGAATCTAACATTGCAAGTGCCATTTCTTTACTCTTTTTGAGAAACGTGACTAGATAAATGAATCTCATAGTTTTATTAC